AGAGAGAGCTATCATTTTGTGGGTGAAGACATCATAAGTTGGGTAGGCTGATAGAGTAGCATGTGTGGTTGAGATTATTTTTGTGTAGATGAGCTGAAAGAGACTGAGGATTACAAGACAATACTGTGGGGAGACTCTTTTGATCATTGGAGAAGGACAAGCAACATCACGCAACATGAACTCTACCCTTTTGGCCCATGAAATTTAGGCTCATATGCACCAATACCACATGAAAACCTTCTTAAATTACACCACATGAGTCTAATAACTTTGCAATTCTTACGCCATTAACCCTAAAACATTTTAGGAACCACTTTTCCTCGATGGATGATTCCAAAGATCTAATTCAGCCTTCATCTTCTCTGATCTATTTGCTGGAAACTAACATCCAAATAGGGAGGGAATAACAGCAAGTTTCTCCTCTCAGTCAGCTAATAGAGGGCCTGCAACTCGACCTATATGTGCAGAGCATGAACCAATCACTTCATTTAAAGTCAGTCATCCTATCTGTGGCATGACAATTCTTTTTTTGACTCACTCCATTTATCCAACTTCTGCCCTACTATTATCACATTGAACAATATACTAATGGGAAATCAAAGGGAAGAATATGCAATATAAATACCTGTTAATATAAACACACACAAGCACACTATGTTTCTCGCTGTAAAACAATCACGAGAGAGAGAGAGAGAGAGAGAGAGAGAGAGAGAGAGAGAGAGAGGTGAAGTTAGTACTATATAGCAAGCACCAGAACAAGTGCTGTTACTTCACCACTGCTTCTGCTCCTGTATGTATCAGCTCACGTCTGCAAGAACAAGCCAACTGTAGTTACCACTACACGGCTTCTGTAACCCTATAAAGCTTTTGCTGAAGATGAAGAGCGTCGTCCCGGCATCATTCCACCGACTGAGCTTTCAAAATGGTCGGCCATGCAGGCTGGAACATGAAGCCATGCAGAAGAACCAACCACGCGTGGGAGTGCAAACTAAAAGCAGTAGCCGACAACTAAGCCTATCATGAATCAATCTCGATCTGTGGAATCGATTCACGTGTGTGGCTCACGTGGCATCAATGTTGGCACAAATGGTTTCCGTATTTATCCTCTGTGGAACAACCAAGATGATCAGATAAGGCCCATCGAGGTGTCTTTATCCATTAAAGTATCATGAAACATTCCATGTGCTCCTTCTGCCGCGCATGCATCACGATTGATCTGCACTGCCATCTCATGACTAGAGCCTATGTAACCGGAGGAGAAGTCACACGTATCCGAGAAGCAATCTCAAGCTAACAGTGCTCTGAAGGAGTAGGACAGAAGTCCACATCTCATCCAGAGTCGATGCATGGTATTATTCAGACGACAAAGGGCATGACAACCAGAAGGCAGTAGAAGTCCGGCTTCTCCTTCCATGGCACATGGACAGGCAGGCAGGCAGGCAGTGTTTGACCATTCAGGGTTGTCATGGTTCTGTTAACCTCTCCTGTCAAATTTCTCCTAAGCAAATCAACAACGTATGTAGGAAGTGTTCATGATCCTTGGATTCTTCTTTTCTTCTCGGTCGAGCCCACCTCCGTAATCAGCGCAGTGCCAGCTCCTGAGAGGTGATTCACGACTGGTGTTTGAATCTTCTTTTCTGATAACGAAGAGGACGGCTTTCGCAGTCTCATGCCCTGCGGATAAGAAGGTCATGCGTCGATGATACTGCAAGGAAAACTGCACTTATCTGTACATTAAGCAAGTTTGATGAAACACCATGAGTTAGTGCAGTGCAGTAGCAGGAACGCGACATGAACAGCAGTATACTCTCCTTCATCGTGTCACACTCGAATCTCATATCAGACCATACGCAGACATACAGAAAAAGCATCGAGAGCTTACTATTCCAGAGACTGATAGGGCCAGAAACAAGAACCGATCAGCCTTGAATTCTTTTGCATAACAATATACATGATTATTTTGTAGGACATCCGTAAAACTAAGAGCATCCACATCTGAGAATCTAGAACAGAATAGAGGAAACGAATGGTTTAAGCATGCTATTACACTAAGAAGAGCCACATCTGCTTCGCCATCAACAGCAGGAATAGAAGTCTACCATCTCGGGCTGCGGGTCGGCGTTCTCCAGCATCCACAGCAAGTGTTCGAAGAGCACCACCTCGCAGTCCACCACCGTCCCGGAGTCGTCCGCGGCGGACCCACCCGACCTCTCCACCAGGACCCGGAAGAGCGGGTGACCGGCCAGGTCAGAGCGGATGAGGAACCGCCGGCGGGACTTGCCGACGTAGACTGTGTGGAGCCCGGGCGGGACCTCGTCGCCTTGGAACGACGTCGCTGACCGGGAGGACGAGTCGCTGCTGCCGCCTCTGCCTCCGGCCGAGCGCGTGATCTTGTTCGATGAATGCCAACGCTTTATCATGCACTTGAGCTTGTTCAGCTTCCCACTCTTCGCCATTCGGACTTCTCTGGTGACTGGAGGTGGCTCCACCCCCAACTCGAGAATGAGAGAAGTTGGTGGTTGTTTAATGTGTGTAAGGTGGGGGGTTATGACAACTTAAAGCGGTAGGAAGGAAGGAGGAGGGGACAGCGCAAGTGGACAGGGAAAGTTTGCCCATTCGGTGGACGGCGGAGGTGAACGTAGACGAGTCTTGTAGCCGCGGGGACATATGTATGCTACAATGACAACCAGTCCTAATAATTCTCCCTCTGCTCATGAGGCTAGAAATGAGACAACAACTGGAAATGATGTTGACCATCATATTTCTTCGAAGACAACGAAATTTTAGCTCAAATGTAGTCAACAATTATGTGTTCTTTTAATGCAATTTTACTGCAGAACTCAAATCTTGGATCTCAACACTGAGCAAACAAAAGAAATGAGCACAGCTTAATTTCCTCTACCTTTTAGCTGAATCAGACAATTGCCAAGGCACTATTTCTTTTGGAACAGTCGAACACATTAGTCTAATAAAAAAACAGAGTTATCTGCATGAGTTTGTCTGAATCAAACAGATGTCACTCTTGTCTGCTATTAGCCATGGCCAGTCACAGAAGGATATCAAATGCTTATTTAGTTCTGCCGATAGAAAGCTTGGAATGCATAATTCGTATTTGTTTTCTGTTGACAGACGATACGAAATAAGGCCAAATTAAAGTGGAGGAATTCGTATGCTTCATGTTCCTGACTTGATACAACTTCCTCTAATCTAAAAGGATGCATTTAGCAGAAGCTCCTCAAGGAAATTGCCAATGTGTTCGTCCGAGATGGTGGAATCATTGAAGCTGCTTAAAAATGGATGTCATTCGACAGCAGCATTCTGTACAACTTGTTTTTCTTTTATGTCGATAAAGATCAGGATCGAACAGTAGTTTTTCTAAACACATCAATGGGTGCATTCATCATTGGAGGTGCATTAGAGAGATTAAACCACAACTGTTAAGAGTTCTCTGCATGCAGATGAGTAGAAAGGGCGAAGGAAGTTGAGGAGGTGCATGTGATACCTCCAGACATCCTATGAACACAGAGAACACGAACTACTTCCAGTGAACAGATCAAACTAAGCAATTCAACGCGAACGAAGATTTTGGTCCTGGAACTGTAGTCTCGTTGGGATCATCACTGCTTTTGGCACCAGGCAGCAGAATTGTTGGGAAACTGGTAAAGGATATAGTTTATTTATATAATATTATTCAGTAAACCGGTCATTCAGCTTTCATAGCTCAGTTGGTTAGAGCACCCGTTTAGTAAGCGGGAGGTCTTGAGTTCGAATCTCAATGAAAGCATAATCTTTGGTAATATGTGTTTTTTGAGGAATATTAATATCAATCAGGGTTATAAGTGTTGATGATGAACGGAAGAAGCTCCACGTGTTGTGGAACTATCGCAGCGACTCGGTTTGAGTCGAGAGGTGAATATGGTCCGAGTTGGACGCTTGACCGACTCACCCAACTCATTCCCTAGCGATGATACTCCACCCATGGAAACGAATCCCACGTTTTGGCATGGAAGATTTATATGGTTTCCGTAAATTGTCTAAGGATACTTCACAAATGAAAATTTTCCGAAGAAAAACGTTTTAAGATGAATATGAACTGTTTTTCTCCAGAATAAAATTGTTTTCTGCCTTTCATCCTACAAAATCATGTTGATATTATGATATCAAATTCAGATATAAAAAGATGATAAATTCAATATTTTAATGTTATTATCCTTTTATTGTGCAAGTTGGAGTCAAAATGGATAATGAAATGAAAGCATGTCACGCTAAAAACATGTTAAAAATTGAATATAACTGTCCTTAAATTCACATAAAAACATAGATTATAATAGATTCATCATTTGAATATCGTTAGCCTTCCAATGTTTCAAGAAGGGCAAAAATGTACTTTTGATGCCATTATATTTGAGGGGGCCCATGGTAATTTCCAGAAGCCGGGGCGCTGTCATGAAAAGCCCGAGGTTTTTATTGGTAGATCAAATAAACTAAGTCACATTTATTTCGACCCATCCGGCGCTTACGCGGCGGAAAACCCTTCTGATTATTGCACACTTTGTGGGTCCCGTGTTCAACACGGGGAAATGGGTACCGGCGAGGAAGCTGGCTAAGTGTTGGTCTTAATTGGATTCCAATCACATGACTATGGAGGAAACGAAAGAAGGTTGAAGAAGGACCCAAATAAATAAAACTTCCTTTCTTTCCATTATATTTTCCCCAACTAAATTGGGATTTTGCGGATTGAAGGCGTCGCCGAAGCTGCGGTTTTCCTTCGCCCCCTCAAGGCCTCCCTCTTTCTCCTACCCTTCTCCCAATCTCGCTAAAACGAAACGCGAAAACGTATAAATTTCGTTCCTCTTTTGCTGTTCGTCACCTCCAGTTTCGTTTCCACCTCGAAAGATTCGAACTTTCGTTTGAAAGATCGCAAAATTTCCGCCTTCTCGATCGTGTTCGAGCTGGTTTCCCTGCGTTCTGTGTGCTCTTTGGTTATTTGAATCCGTGGATGGAAAAGAGGGCATTCGGGAAGCGGCTTCTGGCGCAGGAGAGGGGAGGAGGCGCTGAAAGAAGCTGTGGTGATTGAGGCGGTGGGACGATCTGGAGATCTGGCGAAGGTTCTGGTGATCTGCCAGGTTTGGGATGTTCGAGTGATCTGGCCCCAGCCCGGGGTTCGGGATCCGGAACGGGATGGTGGTGGAGGACGGTGCGGGGACTCGGATCGCGGGCAAGCCCGACGCCTCGAGCTTCTACCTCCATAAATTTAGGCTCTACGAGACTCGATCGGTAAGGAGTTGCCAAAATGACATCTGTATGGCTTATCTCTTACCTCTACTTTGATTCCTTGGTCTTCTGTCATTCTTAATCTGCATGGGTGCTAAAGCTTCTATAGATGTGCTCCTTTTGATTGTCCTTTTTCATATGTAATTCCTTCGATAGTGTCTTCGATTTACTCATCTTTATCCCATCCTCTGATATGTAGCTGAACTACGAAGCCTTGTCAGTAATTTTAAGAATTTATGTAAAGGCAAACTGCCACATGTTCTTAAACTTTTGATGTGTCTTTTTAGTTTTTGTTCACCTTGCATCTAAACGATTAAATTTTCCCCTTCTCATACCCTATCCTGTAGCTTAGGTTACACCTGTGGCCGCTACCATAAACATGTTAAGCTGAAGCATGCAAGACTTTGCTCCATATTCATCAGACAAAAATCTGTAACTTTTTATCATAAGCGGGTAATGGTAATCAAAAGGAAATGAACTTACAGGATCATAAATGCAGAAACTTCTTTACTTGATAAAACGGACACCCGACTTAAAAGCCATCTTCACAAACATCAAAGAGTACCCATACTGACCATCATCAAAATCTGATGTGACAAAAGCACTTCCGATTCCAAATCAGACAAAGTTCTATGAAGTATGAACTGATTGCATAACTGATATCTTCCCTGGAGTACCCACACTGATCATCATGAAAATCTGATGTGACAAAAGCGCCCTTAATTGCAAATCAGACAAAGTTCTATGAAGTATGAACCGATCACGTAACTGATACCTTCCCTGCTGTTTTCTTCTTACTAATTTTGAGCTAGTTAAGAAAAAAATAAAATATGGGTGAATTCAATAGCTCATTTTCCATTTAATATCTTTTCTGGTGTAACAAGCATATAAAAGTTACATTCGATCAGATGAGTCTCCGTTTCCCAGCTAAGGTTGCAGAATACATGTGGAGTTTAAAGCAAATTGTTACTTGTTTTAGATCAACTATACAAAATGAATGACGCATTTTCAGTGAGGAAAATTTTAACTCCTCAAACACATTAAGAAAATTAATTCCAAGATGATCAGTTTTCATAATTATAGAGTAATTGAATAATTAATCAAGCAATGGCTACGCCAATCCCCATGGCAAATTTTATCTGTTATTACTTCTATCAGACAAAGACACTACACCTATAGTTGCTTGAGTGCAAAGGTCAAAATCTTTATCCAGTATCAATATGGTTGGTATAGGGCACATCAGTCATTGCATGTGTTAGTATGGGCCGGCTTCAGTTGATACATGTTGGACTGTTCAGTATCGACTAGACCAGTTCTGAGGCATGTTAAAACTAATTAAATCCATTTTTTATTCTTTTTACTCAATAATGTATTGAAATTTATTTTTTAGTCTTATTGTGACCCATTTATTAAATAATGATGTGTCAATGAGCACGTAAAAATGCTGAAGTGGGCAAATAATTGAAAATTTGAAATGCTTGTAAATGCATGTAAAAGAGCAAAGGGTACATGAATTATAAGTGGTTACTAACTTACTACCACCAAGATGATCATAATACCAGCATGGACTTGGATCCATGAGTATCTAACCTACATATACACAAATCTAGATGGACTCTATGTGGATCTAGGTTGGTTTTATGCAGATATTGCCTAAATCCACATAATTGGATCGATGCAGATATAACCTAAATCTATGCAGAACTCGATTGGATCAGCATGCATCTTAGTCAGATGCAAGTGGATCTTGATGAGATTCAAACAGATCTTCACCCGATTCACATAAATCTTGGCCGTACCAAATCCAACTTAGAATCAAGTAGGTCTAAACTAAATTTAGAGAGGTTTTTTGAGTATTATTACATGATAAAGTAAAGCTTTCCAGAAAGAGAATTCTATTTACAATAGCTTAACCAATTATCTAAAAGCAGTTCCGCAAGAGAATAGTCAGCATATTAAATAGCAACTCATATCACATGAGATTATATTCCCAAAGTGATCAATGATTGCTTGAACTTGACCTATTGAACCTTAAAGTACCAATATCTGGCAATACTATCTTAAGCATTCGAGATTGCCAATAAACAAGTGACATCACGAAACTTATGGACCAACTTTGAAATCCCTACTCACATGCCTTACAATGTACATGGAGCTCAAGTTATGCTTCTAAGACAGTTGAAGCAAAAATTCTGAGTAGTAGAAATGATATTGATGATTTGATTACTCCTCTGTGCTTTATTTAAATAAAGAAAATCAATGACCCATTTTTGATCATTGAATAATTAGGGATCTGAACCCTATCTGTTTATTCAAGTCTTTGAAGAAAGTCTTTGCCTCTGGTTGACTGTGGGTCTAAAATGGAAGATGAAAAATATTAAATCCTATTTATCCCATTAGAGAGAGGTAGAGCAAATAAAAGATAAAAGGATTACTTATTACTTGGTTAAAAGAGAGAAAACATATATCAGAAAGAACAACATTTAAAAAAATTAAAGAATCAGAAATGATCTCGGGTGAAGGAGGAAGAATACTTGTTCATCTAAGACTCTGTCTTTCGAGTTCTGTTTTTTCCTTTCATTGGTTAAGTTAATGGTCTTACATTTGTAAACTTTTTCTGCATCTGGTCCAAATGATGAATGTCCAAGTTTTTATGTCCCAACTCCATAAAGATGTCCAGGTGCCCTGTTAGTCCATACTGCTATAAAGAGTTCTTAAGATAAATAAGGTAAAACAAAAAAAATGATAAAAATTACACATTAATTGCTTGAGGTTTCATTTTTTGGTTCTAGCATTTAAAAATTTTCTTCTACTTGTATCTTTTGAGATATTTTTGATGATCCTGACCAATCTAATCATCCAACTTGTGTTAACAGGTCTTGGCAACACAACTCAAAATGGTTAAAAGTTAAAACCACAATTATAAGTATTAGAATCATATATTAGGAAATGCCGATCTAACCAAGCATCATCTTCACATGGGGAATTGTTGAAATGTAACAGTCTCTAGTATTAGTATCATCTGTTTAAACATGTCAATCCAACTTAGGATCATTTTCCAAACTGAAACTTTTTAAGTGTCACAATCTTTTCTATTTAGAATTTTATATCCCTCATATCCTCGTCAGGATCCAAAAATAGTAGGGTGGTGGGTACATACTGTCCCGTGCCCCTCCACCATACTACAGGTACCTTTTTCATTGAGCTCACTACTCCATTCAGTGTCTTATGATTTTGATTATGATTATCCAGGTTGAAATATGCTTTCAAATTAACGTCCGAATTAGTAGATGCTGCCAGTGTCCAATTCAAAGAGCATCAACCAAGTCTTCTTTTTTTTGGGGAAAATGCCCAAAAGGCTTCTCTTCACTTGAAATAGCACACAAATATTATTTCAGGAGAAAGTGGACTCCAATATAAAGAAGGCATAGCAATCAACATAAAGTAGCAGTTATGGGAACTACAAAATATTTCTGAACTCCTTCAAAGAATATTTTGGAATAATCTACTGCATTAGTAATTTCTTTGTTTTCCTGGTTTGTTTGGATTTGCTTCTCTCTTATCCAAGAGATTGAAAGTAGTATCATTGTATGAAGAATATTTCTGAGGGGCTAAGATCTGGATCAGAACTGGGTACTCAGTAACACGACCAAGAAAAATATTATGTTTACAACGAAATTACATTTTGTTTAACAATAAACATTAAGTTGTTTTATTGGTAATGAATTTCATTCTGTTTCGAACTGCTTCATGTTAAGTGCTTTGCACAAATCTATGTACTGGAAATGTGCATCTTAAACTCATTACTGGCTCAGAGACAACCTAAATTGTCTTTTTCTACTGCCACTCTTGTACTTTCTTTGTCAGTTGCTTTCTGGATCATTATGTCAAAATGTGATTTTTTTGTATCACTTGCAGAAATTTTATATGATTGGAAGAGACAAGAAAAGAACATTGTGGAGAGTGTTAAAGATTGACAGATCAGAACTCTCGGAGCTTAACATCCGTGAGGATGCTACAACCTACTCTGAAAGTGAATGCAATGAATTGTTGAACCGAATAGATGAGGGAAACAGGTCGACCGGTGGACTAAAATTTGTCACCAACTGTTATGGCATTGTTGGTAAGTCAAGTATCAGCTATTCTTTGTGGTGCTTATTTGCAGTATTTTACTTGTGATATCTTATGTATTATCATTTCAGGATTTGTTAAGTTTTTGGGGCCTTATTATATGCTGCTTATTACTAGAAGGCGGCAAATTGGTGCTATATATGGCCATACTATTTATGCTGTCACCAAAAGTGAGATGATTGCACTTCCAAATTCTACCATCAGCTCTAATCTGACTTATTCTAAGAATGAAAACAGGTTTGTTTTTTATTATGTAACTAATAAAATGTTTTGACGAGCATGGAAACAGTGATATTTTGACATGCACCTTTTGTTATTTGAATGTCTCCTTTAAACTATTTTATAAATCATTATTTCTTGATAATTTGTTAGTTGAGAGGGTTTTTTCTACAGATAGTTTCTGATCTATTACAGTATTACTCATTTAATAATTTCTCTCCAAGTCATATTATCTGTGGGGCCTAAGTGGCAAATTTGTTATGTTTATTATCCTCGAATGACTTCATGCATTTTTTATGTTAATGTATATTATATTTAGATGTATTATAAAATCATTTTTTTCTGTCGTTCTTGTACTTTGTCGTGTAACATCATGATTCTTCAGTTGTATTTTATCAGAGTGATTCCTTAGAATATAAATTTGTCTTAATGATGGTGCAGATACAAAAAGTTATTATGTACAGTGGATCTCACAAAGGACTTCTTTTTTAGCTACTCATACCATGTCATGCGAAGCCTCCAAAAGAATATATCTGACAGTCAAACAGGACAAGCATTATATGAATCCATGTTCGTCTGGAATGAATTTTTGACACGTGGAATCCATAATCAACTTAAAAATACTCTATGGACAGTTGCTTTAGTATATGGTTTTTTCAAGCAGGTAAGATATTTTAACTTCTGTTTGTTTTATTATTAACACACAAGTGACTGTTTAATGTGCAGTTGCCTTGGACATATGTGTATGATATTTAGCTCTGCCAGAAATGTTAACTCTTGTTGGAAGCGTGTGTTTTTTTTGTCCCTAGCTGTTTGCTTTGTGAAACATACATCATTCAGTCATGGATGTTATGCTGAATGGATAATTGAACCTGCAATTTTTGGCAATGTGTTGGTCAACCCAGGAAAAGAAACCTATCCTTAGTTATGTCCATACAATTAGGAACAAATGTATTTAAAAATCTTAGTATTCCTTTGTTTCCTGAAGGAAAGAGTTTGACATGAGTATATATTATAGATTCTAAAACAGATGTTAAGATATTGGACATCTCGCTAGTTATGGAGGATAACTCATATCCGGATAATGTTCTCTCGTCTGTATACCTCAGTGGCGCTAAGCACTTCATGGAACATAAGAATGCAATTTTCCCCAAGCTAACAAGTACCATTGGTGTCAGCTGGATGATGTTTCTCTTTTCTGTAGACCTCAGTGGTGCTAATCACTTCATGGAACATAAGAATGCAATTTTCCTCGAGCTAAGAAGTACCACTGGTGTCAGCTAATGTCTGGTAAGATAACTAAAAGGAAGTAGGAACTATGTTAAGGTGGTTTTTCATTTTGCTGACAATTTTTCTACATCCACTTGATTGCTGACTGATCAAGTCAAATCAGAAGTGCTCAAACAAATTTCATTTTACCAAGTTACATTGCGTTTACTGGTGAGATGTGGTAGGTTGTTTATTTCATGAGCCAATCTGTTCCATTTACAATTTCTGTACAACGTTAGAAGGTTATGTAATTTGATAGTAGGGACATGATCTTATATCTACAATTTAATAGTCAAGGCTGAAATGCATATATTATTTTTAAAATTTTTTGGCAGGGGCACTGCCGCACTGTAAGGCTCATGAAATCCAAGTTACAAAATTCATGAAAACAAAATGAAGTGAAACAAAGAAATCATCTCAACATATGATAAGTCAATGAAGCAAGGTTTTAAATCTTGGTCCGATACGGAGTTTGTAATTTACTGGACTGCTACGGTACCAGTGTATTAAGCAATCTGTGTTGCCCAGTATCAGTTGTAGAAAATACTAAAATTAGTGACTACTACCCAGTACCAGATGATCGTCCAATGCCAGTCCTTGAATGGATTGGTGAATATGCACCAACTGGCATTTGAGACAAATGCAATGACATATACAAAGGCTAAGGTACCAACCAAATTTCTCTAATTTTGTTAAACAATGTGAATGATTATGTATCCTCATATTAACTTATTAGTCTTTATTGCCATTTACTTGTTCTTGGACATCAACCTTGTTTTAACACAATTCACTGGTAATGATTTTTATTTTGTTTGTTCAGGCAAAACTTTCAGTATCTGGGAAGATTTTTAGATTGACACTCATTGCCAGGCGCTCACGTCACTATGCCGGCACTAGGTTGGTCTACCTTTTTCGTTTATTCTTTTTCTATGGTTGTCAGGGGAGTGACTAAGATCAATCCTGATGGGGAAGAGGATGTTTACTTCTCGGTACATTGTGTATTTTGATATGCGAAGATTGACAAGTTTATAACTATATTGTCTTTCTTTTTTTCTCAATTTTGATATGTGATGAATTCTATTGATCAGATATCTGAAGCGTGGTGTTAATGAGAAGGGTAGGGTGGCAAATGATGTTGAGACAGAACAAATTGTTTTTGAAGACATTCATGGTGGGATTCCAACTCATATTTGTTCAGTTGTTCAGAATAGGGGTTCGATACCACTTTTTTGGTCACAAGAAACCTCAAGGCTGAATCTGAAGCCTGATATTGTCTGTAAGCATCAAACTTGCTATAGCATGATGTTCACATAAGGTTTTATTTCTGTCTTATCTTCTCTTCTCTTTTCTGCAGTGCATAGAAAGGATACAGATTATGAAGCTACGCGGCTTCATTTTGAGAATCTTGTAAAAAGATATGGGAACCCTATAATCATTTTAAACTTGATTAAGGTATAATCTACATCGAGTGCCTCCAAGAGTTTCTTGTATGAAGCATGGATGGACAATTTTCCATTATAATAGGCATTCCACTTTAAAATTGGATGTGATGGTCATTTCTGCCACTTTTTTGTGTGGTTTTTTTTTTTCATTTTTACAGTCAGAAGAGAAGAAACCCCGAGAATCTATTCTTCGCTCGGAATTTGCTAATGCCATTGAATTTATAAATAAAGATCTGCCAAATGAAAATCGTTTAAAGTTCTTGCACTGGGACCTTCATAAACATTCTCGGAGGTACCTACCTCCTTGTTCTATACTTTATAAAGATATAATGCCTGTTAAGTCATGCAGTTCTAATCCAAAAGCTTGTGTTGCAGTAAGGCTAAAGGTGTGCTTACTTTGCTGGGAAAAGTTGCGACCTACGCCTTGAATCTAACTGGCTTCTTCCATTGTGAAGTGACACCAGCTTTAGGGTTTGATGTTGCTTTAGGGGGGCCTGTCATTTTGTAAGAATTTTATCTTTTTAATTTTTTGCTTCAGTGTACTGAATCTGCTATATGTCCTTTTAATTTCCTGCTTTAGGTTCTGTAATGTTTTCTCCATCATTCTTTTATAAAAGGTTAGTTTTGTACTGGTTCTTTTGTCCAAAATACACCCAATTACAAATTTATTTTATGTTGACGAGCTGATATATTAATATTTACATTTCTGGATGTTACTTTCTCTTCATCTTCCTTTAAGAGTTAGATATGCCAATACCTGATTATATGCTTATTTAAATGGCACTTTGACAGTTTACATCTTCAGAAGTGACCTCTTGCTCTAGGTCTAGTCTGCCAATATTTTGTGCTTATCTTGCTCTTTCAGATTAAGGAAAATGATGTTTATATTGAGATGTTTCCTGAGCATCTCCTCAATTAATAATAATTTAATATGACCATATCACTCATGAGACCTTTGTTACATTTTAGTATGGATTATTCACCCTTGAGGAGTTTTATCACATAGCCTTTTGTTGAGAAGCAGAATCATGAAGTATTTTGGTGCTTAAGCAACAAAGTTCTGGCTTTTAAGTGCAATATTGTTAAAAAGATGTTTATACGTCAAATTCTCATTCACCCACTTGGTGTGAAATGATTTGTTGCAGTGCTATGTTATTATCCCCTACAAAATTTGAACTATGGTTTCCACTGTAGTACCAAAAATATTCAGGCTGCAAAGGGAGTCTCTGATTTTAATTTCACTCTGATCCTTTGGCAGCTTATGCGATCTTTAACCATCTACAAGGATGCACAAGCATTACTTTGTAGAACACACAGCATAATGAACATAGGATTTAGAAATTCTAAACCAAATGTGTGTCAAATATCATGTTCGATATACTTTTTTTAGTTCTAGTCAGCAGAGTTAGGCCCTATATCTATATAGGCAGACCCTTATGTTAAATGGCTCCAAATTGCATGCTAGGTTATTGATTGGCATATACTGACTGTAAGCTAACACCTTGATTTTTAAAAATTTTTCTTGGTAATATGTTGATATTTTTTATCATACTGATGGTGTGCTATATTCCACACTGGTCAACTGTAGCATGATATTTTTTTAAATCATTGACGAAAATTATCATTTAAAATAGCATCATTTAAAAAAAAGGCATATTAAAATCATCATCTCTGAACTACTTAAGTAGTTCTCAAAAAATTTTTTACACCATCTAATTCTTCAACGAATTCAAACAAAGACTCCCTGTCCAAAACTTGAGGTACAGATTTGAGAGGGTTCATTTCATGTTAGAAACTAGTTCCATAGTTCTATAGTTTTCCTTCATAAATGCACTAAACCTCATCACTTCTGATAATTTATCTAATAAGTTTCTTAGACTTAATTAGTCAAGATAATTATTCATCGTCTTCACAATATTATCAGGATATTCTTTAATTTGATCATGCATATAATATTCCTATGTATTATTTAGTAGTAAATAAATGCACCTGCCCAAGAATTAAATTGTGCAGTGTGTGCCTGTGCCAACCACCCATGAGTTTTATGTAACTAAGTGCATATCGTATGTATCATGTTATGGCATGTATTAATAGAGCTGCATGTTTGGATTCTGTATTGGCACAACATGCTGAATGCACTAGTTTTTTGCCATGTTACATATTATGGTATGTACTTTGGTACAACATGCACCTTAATCCATGAGCCTGGATATGTTTTCTAAACTATTTTTGCTGGTGATGTTCCATAGGAAAGACCATGCTGGTCTCTGGTCATTTAATTTCAATAACAATGTCAACAACTATATCAACAACACGGATGGCTATACTACTAATAGAGATGGTTCTCAAGAAGATAACATGATGGGAGATGGTACTCAAGAAGATAAAATGGTAAGAGATGCTTCTCAAGAGGCCAAACAGGGAACTGCAGAAAATAAAGATGGCAACTGCGGAATTTGCTTGACGAAACCCATTAAATTTCAGAAAGGAGTCTTGCGTACAAATTGCATAGACTGTTTAGATCGCACAAATGTTGCTCAATATGCATATGGTTTAGCTGCTCTTGGGCATCAGCTTCATGCGTTAAGCCTAATACGTGTACCAAAGATTGATCTAGATGCCCCTTTGGCTGATGATTTAATGAGCTTTTATGAAACAATGGGGGACACACTTGCTCATCAATATGGCGGTTCTGCTGCTCATAACAAGGTATATTTGTTATTATTTCAAATTTCATATCACTTAGAAGGCCACTTTTACCATGTTTTCCAACTAGTTTGTGTTCTTTTTATGTTATTTGCTTCAATATCATAAATTAGTTTCCAATTGTAATTAGTTTCCAATTTACAATTGGAAACTAATTTACAATTGGAGGCCCAAGTTTTGAATTTTTGGTAATAGCTTCATTAAAAGGAAAAAGAGCCCCAGCTTTCTGGGTGACCTATGTAAATGTGTTGTGCTTGATTAGGTAAATCTGTGTATTTTCCTCTGATGTTTGTAGAAACAGCAAAATCTTTACATTGGATGACTACATGCTATGCTAGTTAGAGCTTTTCAAAGTCCTTATATGTTGGCAAGCTGAGATATGAGTTGAAAAATGTTATATCTGCCAACTTTAATGGGCATGTTCATAGTTCATACATTTAAGAATAAAGGTTTGGTAGCTACACCTTTTGGTCGTTGGAGAACTTATTGCAGGATAATTAGTTGACCTCAACAAACATTGTTTTTGGAAAAAAAAAAAGAACAATCCGTTTTTCCTTCTGAAATCTCACGATGTGAACGTAACAAATTTGACTGCAGGGCTACTTGGACTGACACATACTTGATTAATAGGGATATATGTGCATGATGGCTTTGTCTGACAACCAAATATTGAATTTCATAAATCTGAAAAAGCAATCAGTTCACTTTTGAAGTTACTGTTTCAACTTGCAAATTGACACTCTATTTACAATCTAGTTGTTTTTAAGAGATAAAGGCTGGAAGATTAATTATTGTATTATGTGAAAGCCACTCTAATGCTTGTGGAGAATGACTAAATGAAATAAAGTTGGTCATTGGATTCTGTAAGAACCATTCCCATGATCATTATGGAGACTGAATATTTTGCTTAAAAATAGGTTATTATTTGGAGGAAAGTTTGCTATGTTGTGTGAAGAAGGTTTCTTGCTTTTGTTCTGCAGAAACAGTTATTCCATTCGCTTAATCATAATGGAGATTGAATATTTTGCTTAAAAACAAGTAGTTATTTGAAGGAAAGTTTTCTAGGTTGTGTCGAGAAAGGTTTCTGCTTTCGTTCTGCAGAAACAGTTATGCAACCTCTATGATGGAAACATAATAGGAGGTTCCAGGAGGGTTTTCATGATAAATCTTACTGCACGTATTTCATATTTCACTTGTGCATACAACTTATAAACATCAGTATCAGCATTTTGGGTCACCAAGAAACCGAACTTTGACTGAATTGGATGCTTCCAAGTCATGAACACGTATTTATGATGAAACTAGCTGATTTTTGTGACTTCTGCTTTAATAGGATACTGGATTTGCCCTTTGATTTATTAACCAACTCCATATTGTTGTTCATGTTCAATGATATTATCATTAGATAACATCATCAATGTAAATGCTTTTGGTTATTTTGATATTCAACTTGGTATATCATGCTTGTTGATGACAATCTACAATTTGGTGCTTTTATGTTATTATTTATTCAGCATTATTATTTTTTAAATGTTGACTTTGATTTGGTTGCACAGAAAAAGTGACCCAGAATGATTTTAGTAATCCATGCAAGGTTGGGTTCGATTAACTTTTATACTAATAAAAAATTAATCAAATTTTGTGTTTATCCTTGAAGACTTTGTTACATAAAATTGAAAGCAAACATATTTGTTTCTTTCAAGTTGGTTTGATTAATCTGATTATCTGAGAAATTGTCAGTCATTTCAGCTTGTTTTAGAAGATCGGATTTCATCATTTCTGAAGTTCATTAATAACTTGAAGTGTTAACGTCTAATCAAATTGGTGTAGTTTCCAGTCAGTTCAGAAAAGGAATAATTTACCTTACCATTTTTTTACTGATTTGCTCTTCTATGTAGAACTTTGGAAACATGAAGAAAAAACTCTACATTATTTGGAATTGCTGTTAATATACTTTATGCATATGTTCATTTTTTTCAGTCTAGGATTTTGATTTAACTGTAAAGTTGGTAATACATTAATATTTGTTTTTAGTTTTTACTATACTGAAACAAATAAGCTATTTTGTTCTTCATATATAATTCCACACAAAAGAAGGGTAGATTGACCTACTTGTGGTTTTATCATTTTAACTTGTGACACTTGATAGATATTCTCTGAGAGAAGAGGCCTTTGGAAAGCTGCAGTACAATCGCAAGAGTTCTTTAGAACACTTCAAAGATACTACAGCAATGCCTATATGGATGCTGAAAAACAGGCTGCAATAAATTTGTATGTCGAAAGCAGTGTTTCTTACTAATTTCCTTTGAACTTGTTGCCTTTTATTTCTCACAACTAAATTTCAGTTCTTTGTGACCACCAATTTAAAATTTCCACTGCCCTTATCAACCAATTGGCCTTGTAAAATGCAGATTTCTGGGCCATTTCCAACCTCTACAGGGTAAACCGGCAATATGGGAGCTGGACTCTGATCAGCATTGCAGTGTGGGAAAAAGTGGTCATGCTTTTGCTGATGAATGCTCCAGGTTTTGTTTTGTGAATATTTTTGTGCATAATAAACAGTATCTTCATGTTCTTTGTCAAGCATGCTTGGAAAGGCTTACTGTCACATCTTTCCTTTTTTTCTGTTTTGTCTTTTTCCCCCTCATGAGATTAAGCATTTTTATGTGCTTCTTTGCATTGTCTAAAATTCTTGTTATCGCATGATTTCTTATCTTAAAACTCAGATGTCTTGTTCATACATGGTTTTCAAATTCTCCCTTATGTCCATTATCTTTTTAAACTAAATAAAATTAGTTCTACTCCATGAAAAAATGAAAATCGCTCAGTACTCTTTATTAAGATGTATGTAATGCTGTGCAAGTCTTTGATATATATACACACACACATATCAGAATCAAGCTATCTTGCAGCCTAGTTAAGTGAGAGTTAATCAATGGACAATTTACCAGAATACAAAATGTAGAAGTCTGTATAATCAAGATGTGTCTCTATGATTTTCCTCATTGTTTGTAAATTGATCATTTTAGGAGTAAAGCAAGATGAAAGCTGACAGTTTCTTATCAGCTGAAATTCTTCCCATATCTTCATCTTTGATGCAATCATTTATGATGTCATCAGGCATTTGCATCTATCACATATATGTATGTCATAGTTAATATTCATATATTTTCAGGTCTTATATCAAAAGATCCTTATCAGATGGCAACATTCTTTGTGAAAGTGATTCGCCTTTCTCCAGCCGCACTATTGGTCAGAGAAAACCCTCAACATTATCTGGAAGAATTCAACAGGAAAATGAAAAGAATCTTTGCTGTTCAACACCAGAAATTTCAACTTGTGGAAGTGATGTATCATATTCCAGGTCAGCTGCTTCAGTTTTCAGTAAATGCACAAAAACAAATTAGTTTCAATTTTTTCTTAATTTTTTGGGTGCACCAATCCACCAAAAAGTAAACGCAAATTCAAAAATATGAAGAGAAGCTATTTATACTCAAACAGAGACCTGCAGATTGTGCTGACCCCAAATAGTTGTGAGTATCCGACAGAGCAATGCATCAGGTTTATTGTTGTTGTTATTGTAGAAGTATACCTAAAATACTTGCGATATTAATTGCCTGAAGGCCCTGAACTTTAAAACTCTAGGACTTGTATGTTTGTGTTGCCTTTTTTGTCTGAAATAGATGAACTCATGCAATTCTCCTGCCTGATGCAGTGTGAAAAGGGATTTCCAATAATTTGTTCATTATTATCAGGAGGGTAACTTTCTTTACCTATCTTGTTTAGGTACACTCCCACAATGTCCAGAAGGCAGCTCTTTGCAGATGGTGAGCACAATTTTGTCTATGAACATGGAGAATCAAATTTTCTGGATCTTGATTGGCTGTCATCATCTGGTAATTCATGCGATGAAGAAATTTATGATAGGTAATCCTTTCTTTGTAATACTCCACTGAGCATATGACTTGGGTGTTTGTTTGCTAGTTATGGTCCAAAAGCTATATTTTGTTTTTTCTGGAGTCCATGTGTCTCTCAAGCTTCTTTGAGACATCTAATTCTCTATAGATATATTATGCAATATCAATGTCTTGATCATTTCAGTGGCCTGTGATGCATGTTGCAGAAGAATATGTCATATGTTTTTTTTTTTCAGTTATTATCAATATCACACGAATAGTGTGGATTTGGTTCCTTCTTGAGCTCTATAGGTTACTTGTGGGTACAAGTAAATTCAGAATTTATACTGAGATACCTACTCCTTTCCTTCACTTTCCTTCATGGCCACTTGGGTCATGCTGCTGTCCTCTGTCCATCCTGAGCATCCTGATTCCTAAGTTACTCTTGTCAGTCGATACAGAAAATTAAGTTGTTATATTGAATGTAAGGAAATAAAGGCCAAGCACAATGTTAGGAACTAAACTTCTGAGATTTTGAAGCTAAAAAAAATAAAATTTCATATGTTATTGCAGGTTGAACTCCCCAATTGAGAATCTTTTGACTGAAAACATTAATGGCATGAATGCTGAGACAATCTCTCCTCTATGTGAAGATGGATCTGGCATTAAGGTCAGTATTATAATTCTTTAATTGCCATTTTGTTTTTAATATTTTGACTTGAAGCATTTTCCAGTTAAGAATTTGACTGATTAATGATACACTTTTATCATAATAAAATGAATTGATTCTTTACTTATAAGTTTGCTCGAATTCAGTCAGTATATTTGGTCTCTAGAATTGAATGGATTAATATCAGAGAATGGTTATGATGGAGAATCATTAAGTTTTACAAAAGGATTTCAGAAAAAATTATTCTAGGCAAAGATATCAACACGAAGTCATCAATTAATTGGCCTAAAAATTCTAAGAGTTGCATTGAAAATTGAAAAGTCTTTTGCTCTTTCTAGGGACTCCACTTTGTATTAAGTGCACTCTTGAATTAAGTATACTTATTTATTATTTAGATTACTTAGAAGTCAAATTTTGGATTTCTAAAAGGCCTACTAATTTCTTAGGAGATTACTCTTGGGAATCATTATATTCATTAATTGTACCAAGGCTTCTAAACCACTATAAATAGTAGAGCTTGTTAATAGATCAAACATTTTAGATTTAAATGAAAAGAATTGTATCTTCTCTAGTCTCTTACTCTCTTCTCTTTAGTCTCTTGCTCTCCTCTCTTATCTCACACTTCTCTTTATTTCTCTTCCCTTCTTTTTTTCTCTACTTCTCTACTTTGTTCTATATCAGTTTGGTATAAGAGTTCATCAAGAAACCTGTCTTGTATCCCATTGGGTTCCAACTAGCAACAAAAGCTTTGATCAACACTCAAGGATCCTTGCACCTCTAATGTCAACCCCTTGCGTGTGGAGTTGGACTTTGGGGCGATTGTTTATACGGAATTTGTGGACCACGTAGCTTTCAGTGCAGGGTAAATCTTTGAAAACTTTACTAATATTTTTTTATCGAAAAGAAAATTCGTATATTTCAGTAGATTATGGTTTTTATCGCTTCTCCCTCCCGTTTACTCCTCTTTTTTTTCCCTCTTTTTATCACCCTCTCTCTCCCCCTTAGCTACAACTATAGTACCATTAAAATTTCAACACTTGAAAATTGTTAAAAAGAAAATTCAAAACAGAAAGTGAGAAAAAAAAGTGAGAACCATTTGGAACAAAAAAAAAAGTGAGAACTATTTGAAACATCACATTTCTACCTTATCCATTATAACAATTAACAACCTCATTATCAAAAAGTAATTTGTCGATAGCATTAGAATCATGACTTGACGAGGTGAAAACCAAATCAATCTTGATGAATCCCTAAACTAAAAGAGTGAGGTAGACACCCTTAGGGCTAAGCTAACGGATCATGACACAATATTAAACCAGTTATGTGATCAAATGACCCAAGTCCTAAGAGCTCTCCAACATCTTGAAAAATGACCCATGAATGAGGAGGCTGATAAGTCAGCTAGGCAACATATCCATTCTCTATAATTTATAGCTTCAAATCAATGAATTTTACCTACTCCCCAAGCCCCAATTTAAACAAATCCTATGTCCACCTCTTGGACACTTGTTCACAATCATGCCCCAACAATTCTTGATGACCAAGCTTTTGACCTTAACGATGAATTCATAGAATCTATTAGAATTCCACAAACCTGAGTGATGGGCTAACGGGTTTAGTTTGCTAACAATCTAGGGAAATGACCAGAAGAATCAAAGTGTATGTGTCGGACTTTGATGGTAGGTTTGACCCAAATGTAGTTGTTGACTCGTTAGATAGCATGGAAGACTACTTTGAGTGGTATGGAATGATTGATATTGAATGTGTACGATTTACAAAAGTGAAACTGGTAGAATCCTCTAGGAAATATTGGCAACATGCCCAACTTAGTCTCAAACACTGTCGAGAGCCTCCTATCACTCAATTGGAAGTCACGAAACAAAAACTTAATGAAAAATATTTACCAACCTACTTTCGAAGTCAATTGGTTAACAATTTTTAAGCCTTAAACAGTTGAATTCTAGTGTGGCAGAGAATTTGGCTCAATTTGAGGAACTTTTACTTAGGTGTGAAATAGAAGAGGATTAAATCATCACTGTCTAAAGATTTGTTAATGGGTTGAGGTTTGACATCCAATAAGAAGGCTCCCTTAGTTTTCCCAACACCATAAAAGAAGCTTTTCAATGAGCCCTTGAGATTGAGAAGTACATCAAACTTTATATAATTCGGTGAGTATCTTCTCAGTCTCTTGACAATAAAACTATTACCCAATTTACCCCAGGTAGTGGCTCTATTAAGTCAAAAAATCCCCACTACTGGCAACAATCTTAGCCCAACCATGAATTGTCCAACTCGTTCAACTATTGATTTGCAAACTAGTTCGTCTTCATCCATTGTCATTATTACCATAATAGAAGTCACATTGCCTCCCATTATCCTCAATGTACCCTTACATTAAGACAAGAATCAAAGGATCAAATCGAGGATGTAAACTAAGTAGTCGAACCCGAAGCCTATTCAAGTGACAAAAACAAAGTAGAAATTGAAGATGCTCATGTTACTGTTGTCCACTTTATTCTCTCTATTGCTAGTGATTCTAATGAATGGAAGAGGACAAGTGTCTTCCATACTTTGAGCTGAAGTGGGGAAAGAACTTGCAAATTAGTTATAGATGGGGGTAACACTATGAACGTAGTCTCAAAATCTATTATCAAAGAACTAAGCTTTAAAGAAGAGTCACATCCAACCCCATTCAAAGTAGCTTGGGTTGACAAAACCACTTTACTCGTGACTGAAAGATGCCTGGTACCAATCAAAATTCGACGATTACTAGGATGAGATCTATTGTGACGTCTTACCAATGGACTTTTACCCACATTTTTTTAGGTTAGCCTTGGTTGTATGACCTTGATGTTACCAATCATGGGAGAGAAAACACAATTGCCTTTTGATATAAAGACAAAAACATTATCTTGCGACTAGTAAAACCGTCAAAAAAGAACCAAACAGGAACTCCCAAGTCTCTTATGCAAGCCTCAACCACCAAGAATCTCCATTTGCTAGATCCGAAATCTTTAGAAATAGAGAGCATAGACAACAAATTTTGTGTGGCCATCATTGCTAGAGAAATTCTTAGCCCTTGCACTATTCTTGATCTGACTCCTGAAGTTAAATCCTTATTAGATGAATTTTCTGACATTATATCCTTGGAATTACCTAGTGAGTTGCCACTCTTATCATTGACCTTATCTCAGGATCGCAGCTCTCTAATCTCCCACATTATAGAATGAATCCTAACAAGAGAGTGGAGTTAAACAAGCAAATTGAAGAACTTTTAGCTTAAGGCTTTGTACGACACAACCTTAATCCTTGTGTTGTCCTTGCCCTGTTAAACCCTAAGAAAGATGAGTCTTGGAGGATGTGTGTGGATAGTTGAGCAATCAACAAAATAACAATAAAATATCACTTTTTGATTCCTCGACTTAAGGATATGCTAGACCTTCTTGTTGGATCTAGTTGGTTTTCAAAATTTTTTCTGAGAAGCAGATACCACCAAATTCGTATTAGACCTAGTAACGAATGAAAAACAACATTCAAAACTCAAGATGACCTATACAAATATCTAGTCATGCCCTTTGGTCTATCCGATGTCCTAAGCACTTTCATGCGCTTCATGAACCAAGTTTTACGACCCTATATAGGCTTATTTGTTATAGTCTACTTTAATGACATCTTGATCTTTAGTAAGATCAAAGAGAATCATTTAGAACATTTTCGATAGGTTTTTACCACCCTTTAAGTTGCTAAGCTCTATGTCAATATGGAAAAAGTGTTTGTTCATGCAAACCCATGTCCTATTCCTGGGCTTCAACATTTTTGCTCGAGGTGTTGCCACTAATCCAGAAAAGATCCACGTCATTTCAGAATGGCCTAAGCCTAAAACCCTTTTCGAGATTCGTAGTTTCCATAGATTATCTTCATTAATTGTACCAATGCTCCTAAACCCCTATAAATAGTGGAGTTTGTTAATGGATCAAACATTTTAGATTTGAATGAAAAGAATTGCATCTTCTCTAGTCTCTGACTCTCCTCTCTTATCTCACACTTTTCTTTCTCTTCCCCCCTCTTTCTCTCTACTTCCCTACTTTGTTCTACATCAGGTTAAGCCCTGCAACATAGCAGTGTAAGACAACCTTTGAGAATGTTTCTTTGGAATGAATTTTCAACATGATCTTCAAAAATCCTCTTATATTAGATGATCGTGCACTGATTTAATGGAATATGATTGTAGACATGTGCAGTCCACATAATATTGAAAGTTGATGGTCTTATATGTGGAGATTATTTTAATTATATTAAAGACTATTGTTGTCATAACCAAGTTGATTCTGTTAATAGAAATACTGATCCATAAACATAAGGAGTACATCATCTCTCTCTGCTCTGTCTTAAGCTGTCACTCACAATTATTCCTATTTTCTTTCATATTCTTTCTCTTTCATGTGCTATCATCTTCTCCCTTCCACATCTTCCTTCCTGTTGCATTGCTACTGCCGTCGCCTCCATCCCATTGTGTCGCTGCTGTCTCCTCGTTCGAATTGTTGTCCTGTTCTCCTCTTCCTACTACACCACTGTCTCCTTTGCCTTCTTTGCTTCCCTCCTCCCTCAGGCTTCTCATCCTTCTCTTTTATGCTTCTCTCTCACTGGTTAGGTGGTACTGATCTGTACTGAATATCGGTAGTCAATCAATACCAGAATAATATCAGTCTTGCCACCAATCGTTATTGGCACCAAACTGAGATTTTAAACCTTGCTTTAGTTAACATTTTGTCAAGCTATGGATTCGAAGTGTTGGTCTGTCACGTGTTACACAACAAAGTATAAACTTATCTCTCTTTATCATGTTTGTATATCTTTGTACTTATCTGTGTAGTTTCCAGATTGTACAACATTTTATAAATTGATACATCTGAACAGTCGACTCTACATTTCGAATGTGCTTATATCTGTATATGCATGCGCATACTCTCTTGCACAGGTCTACCTGGGCAAGTGAGCAGCACAATTGATAATTTTTGGCATCGAAATCCTGAGAAATATTGTACTATACAAGTTGTCTCATTACATCGGCACAGTCAATTTATTCTCAACTTAAACATATTTTTAGTTAATACTGAGTTGTAGCCAATATTCTATTCACCTTTGAATGAATAAATTTGTCACCATCATTATCACAGAGGAAGCAAATTTCGGGGAAGGAATTGGCTTATGATCCTGTCCGAAACTACGATATTCTCAGCGAATTTTCTGACAGTTTTATCCGTTGGGTTATCCATGGAGAGACTTTATGCCATTGATGCCGGATGTTATAGTTACATTTTTGGCATATCCACCTGATTGTCGGCTCCAAATCACCGAAGGATTGGATGACGGCAAGAATGAAAAAGGGTTTGGGTGAAGGAAGACAAAAAAGGTGCGGGTATGCATTTTGTGTTGAGGTATTCCCACTCCTCCATTTTGGTTGAGAAATGTGCAAAGAGTGCGTTGTTTGGCAGTGCTATCGTCTTCCGTAGTCTGACAGAAGTACAAGTATATATAGGTAAGTTCGTCTGGGTTTCTCTGAAACGGAAACCCAAAGTTCAAATCAATGTAAATATTGATATAGACATTGTTGCTTCTCAAGTATCATTAATTCTTTCTTTTTTATTCTCAAGTGTTGGTGAATTTTCCAGTTATATATTCCTCAAGATGTGCTGAATAAAACTAATATCTCAGTTTTTTTCCTCCCATTCTGTGTTCTCTGCGATTCACATTGCTAGCATTCAATACAATACCAACTCCTCCGAAATGTCAGGCTAAGTAGTAATGTCAGCATTGGCCATGGTGTTTTTGTTGAGATATTCTGTTGGTTAGTATAGTGTTTGAGATGCACATGTCAAACGAGACAGCATCGAGTCGACACTAATATGGGCATGACATTTGATTGACTTGTAACGAGATGTGGCATGACATCGGATTATCCATTATGTCAAAAGTCAAGACTTCAAATGTGCTTGTTATGCAGGGTATATATAATGACTTGACGTATTATCAAGCATTGGGATAATTAATGTATTAAGTACGAATCGATTCAAATGATTAAGCAAGTCCAATTAATATTAATACAATAGTAGGAAGTCTCTTATCTATTTCGGATGTGAATAAAATTGAGGAAATGTCCGAGGAAGTCAAAACATTTGGGCAAGTCAACGGTTTCCACGAATAACTTCTTTGGCGAAATGTCAAATGATCCTATTTATAATAATATCTAATGGTAACTATTTGTCATATCATTCATGATTAAATTAGATATAAAAACTATCTACATGATAATAATTTTCTAAATCATAAATTACTTAGAAAAAACTACTTACAATATAAATAAAATTAATTTAAAATATAATAATTATATAAGATAATCATCAGTCAATCAATTCGAGCGGTGTTGCAGCGTGCTGTGTCAGTCGGCGATCCAAGCTAAGTTCTACTGCCCTTTCAATGAGTGCTCAGCTCTCTTGGAAGCTGGAGATGGTGAGGAGGCCATAACAGTGTCTGAGTGCCCGCATTGGAACAGGATGCTCTGTGCTTACTGTAAGGTGCCATGGCACCATGCTCCTGACTGCAAGGAGTTCCAGGGGTTGGAGGAGGGTGAGAGGGGGAGGGAGGATCTCCTGCTGCGGGAGCTGGCAGCAAAGCTCAGGTGGCAGAGGTGTCCCCAAGGCAAATGTTACTGTAGAGAGGATTGACGGGTGCAGGGAACGAAACCAATCAAATTGCTTGAGAACTACCTTTTACTCAGAATGCATCTCTCTCTCTCTCTCTCTCTCTCTCTCTCTCTATATATATATATATATATATATATATTTGTATTTCAGTATCAAGGTTTTAAAATTATATAGTGAAATCATCATTCGATATACATGTTCTCTTGATTTTTTTTTGTTGACTTTCTACCAAAATGAATTTTTTATTGAATTATATCTGAAGTCTCAAGTTTGATAATGTTTGTTTCCATTTTTTGTGTTGGACTTCTGATATTTCCCATGATTTTTTACTAGTGCTTGCTTAGTAACAAAAAAGAGAAAGAATTGGAAATGTTAAATTTTAATTTTTTTTTCAGATTTTGTTCATTGAAAAACAAAAAATATAAGTTTCCAAATCACTGATTTATAGTAATCTTCAAATTAGTTTTTCCTACACCAGATTAGAAGATTCTTTAAGTAAGCATTATCATGCAATAATCATGCTTCCTCTCCATTTCTATTTTGCTGTGGTAACTAAACACTTTTCTAAAGAGACAATTCTGACCATAATATCTCTATGGTTGTAATTTGATTACTTTGTTTGAATAAAATTCATCTGACCTAATTATCTTATCTATTGTTTTGGTTCACGTTTGTGATAAAACCCTAAAGTCTTATCATCGCTCTGATACCAAATGATAAGACCCTAAAGTCTTATCATAAAAAAGAAGAGAAAGGGGATAATCACTTCGAGGGGATCGGCTTCATCGCTTCGAGGGGATCGACCTCCTACGGTTTGTCAAAAAACAGAATAGTATTTTTCATATATAACCGAAAAGAATCAGTTACATTCCTATTTATAGAGTTCCACCCAGAGTCCATCAAGACTTGAACTCTAATAATAAATAAATATTAAATAAACTTCTACTTGACTTTAACTAAACCAAACCAACTCAATAAACAACTGGAACTCAATAATGTTTATTGAAAAGCTCGGTGTGGATACTGTTACTGCTGTATCTCCAATGTCTGAGGAAGCTCGTTGCGGCCATAACTGCAAGTGCTAATTACAGTCTAGTGGTAATTTTTTAGTATACATACAAATAAAATATTGATAGGACTAGATTAATCATCTGAAAAAAAATCACATACAGTGTTGTGATACCCAAAATAAAAAAAACAATTATATTTTCTGTTAAATTTTCTATTCTAGTTATCGATTTTTTTTTCATACTGGGACATCGTCATAATGATAGGTTTTATGTTCGAGTCCACACATAATATCATTTAATGTAATGAAAATATTTTTAATTTTTTTAGTTAAATGTAGGTATCTCATTTATGATGTGACACCTCTATAGATTAGTTTGAGTGTTAGTGTTAAGTTGTAATTTGCTTAATTAAGAGATTATGAGCTTGATAAGATAATATCTATTAAACATTTTTATTATTTTTATCTAAAAAATTAAGCTGAGTGGGTAAACTGCCATCTTAATCTTGTAATCACTGTCATTCCATCAAGCTTTCTTTGGCAGGAAGGTGAATGATAGAGAGAAAAGATCGCAATCCTACTGATTGCCTTCTCTATCTTATCAAGATATAACAACATTTTCTCCTGCCTCTCTTCTCTGTCTCATCCCTAAGCTTTCTTTTACCCAAGAGGTGATTCGGTAGCCAGCCTAGTTCGATCGCCATGGCAGACACTCCCTCCTTCTTTTCACTCGTCATCCACGGCGACGTAGTCACCGGCACCTTACACAGCCCGGCCGAATGGAACGACAAGCTGGCTGAGGAACTGCAACTCCAAGAGTTGCTTATCGCGTCCTTCGGCCACTCGAGTTGCTGCACCGCCGCCAACACCTTGTGCATGGTGTGCGACAGGCCGACACTGCTGACGGAGGCTCCTGCGAAGCCGGCATGCTCCCATGCAGTCTGTACCGCATGCTTGACCCTGTACGTAGATCATATCCTTCGGCGGAACGTGACCGACGTGAGGTGCCCCATTTCAGCTTGCAGGGCGGTGCTGGTGCCTGATGCGCACAGGGAACTCGTCCCGCCGAAGCTGTCCCATCGGTGGATCCAAGCCCACCGAGCTGACAACTGGGGAGGCGGAAGAGTCACCGACGATCGAACTCGAGTTTTCCAGCGCGGTGGTGGGAAGTGGAGAGCCACCCTCTCGATGGAAGGGTTTCCAGGGGAGAAGCGGCGGCGCTGGGATTCATCGCTGCAGATATTCATCCAAGGAGAGTATGACCGGGACGAGCTCCTCAATCTCGCCGGTCAAAGCTCTGCGATCCCACAACGATCCGAAGGGGAAGAAACCCGTGATAGAGATCGGGCAGGCCTTCGGTCCGACTGAGTTCTACTGCAACATTACGTACAGACGCACCTCATCGTAGACTCCCTTTAAAAACACCTCTCCGAGGGATTTCAGTTTCTCCCCAAAACCCTTTCTCCCCAAAATTCCATCAATCTCAGTGGGTCCTTTCATTCTTACAGACGGTGGCACTCTTGGATTGGTGGCTGCAGTAATCTTAGATCAAAGACGATGCGAGACCTCTGATGAGATGACATCAAAAGGTACGCATCGTAATAATTAGATCTATAAACTTGATTTCAATCCTGGCATATAAGTTATTTTCGTATTTCAGATATAGTATAATTATAGATTTTATGCTTACAATTGGTATAAGAGCTCGGTTTTTTAGATCAAATACATTAGATCTGTAAATTTATTTACGATGCATAAAATTATCTTTATCTTTCAAAATTGCTAAGCAGCAATGGTCACCGTCGACCCACCTACGAATTTGTGACTACGTTAGGTAGCTGTGCATCACAGAACCCGTCCCGTACGCGTGCATCACAGAACCCGTCCCGTACGCGGGCATCACAGAACCCGTCCCGTACGCGGGCATCACAGAACCCGTCCCGTACGCGGGCATCACAGAACCCGTCCCGTACGC